GGCACAATGTGAGGAAATAGTTTTTCTCTTGTTAAATTAATATATTTCTAATGTTTGGCCTCATTGGAATACTTGCGTGCTTGTTAAGTAGATAGATCACACTAAAAATGAACGAGGAAATCAACTGTGACATTTATTAATATCAAACGCCAGGCTTTATGATAGTTATCATTAGCCCTTTAGTTTACTTCGGGCTTCTCAAAGGGGAGGAACATCAGTGTCACAAGATGTGGACGTAATAATCTCTGTCTATAGAGCATATGTTTTTTTTTCTTTCACGAAATAAATTGGAGCAATTGATAATTATAGTACGCAAACTTGAACTAGAATGAATGCGAAATTTATTCATGACAATCCATAAGACAAAAACATCCAATTTCTAGATTATTTGAATGTTTTCAAAACACCACCCCCCCCCACTCTCATATTAATTATTTTGTCAATAATTCGCGGTCTGATTTGACTTTCAAATTTAAAGCAAAATCTGAGTAAGTCTTGTTCTCCCACTCCTCCCCTTGAACAAGATTAATCCATCATGCCACTGGAATTTCTGGGGTGGTCAACAGTCTCTTGACCTCTATTTCTTCCATAAACGCTTTCGCTGTTATTTTTGACAAAATTTATAGGATACTTGGAACTTCTAACAAAGTTAATATTGTAATAATTTCAACCAACAGGATAAAATGCAAATAAAATATGCCGAGAATGTATTTCAATGACACTGTTTTCACGCTTCTCAAAACTCTTATCAAAAGCCGCATGCTTCACAGCAACAACCAATGGAAGTAAATGTTTGCGGCTTTAGCGTATTTTACTGTGTCTAGCTTATAACGTCAAAAGAGGATGATTAGTAACTTCACAATAGGAGAAGTATCGAAGTCTCTTGAATTTGATGATATTCTGACCTGCTCCAACGAGAAAATTACAGTCTCACAATACCTTTATTAATCTACGTTCATTTGCGTTGCTGGCACTTCTACTTGTTTCCACCATTACCACTTGGGTCTTTATCGTCTTTTGTGGTGATCAAATGTCAATTGTAAAGGTAATACAGAGCATCCATATGACATGTGAGGCGCTCACATAACTGCATCATTGCTCGCTAGAACGCCACTGCTGAAGTCGATTATAGCAAATGTGACGGGAATCATTTTAATACCTGGAGTTATCATGAATTGAAATTGAGGGCAATTGTGGGCTAAATGTTTTATATGCCTAATGGTCACTATGGCCATGCGGACAAGTGCCTGACGGTGGCAGGTATTGAGGTCAAAGAGCTAGAGCGCATTGATAGACGGGGGGGGGTGCGTGACGTTATAGTATATTAGCTGAATATCACTAAATATAGTGGTATTGTGACGTAAGAGCATTTCAGGAATGCAAACAGCGCTGAGATAGATAAGCCAAGAAGAAAGTTGAGAATTCAAAATCAAAGCAAATTAATCAGCACAATTGTATTAGTTAATTGAAGTCCAAACCTTGAAATAACTGTTTGACCAACGGGTGCAATTGTCACATTTTATTAAAATATACTTCACAGTGAATTGCCGGTCGTAGTTAATATAATTAATACTACTAAATATGTATATGGTTACCGAATTAGGTTGAAATATTTATTTATACCAAATGGCAGGCGTTTTGATGGTTATCATTAGCCCTTTAGTTGACTTCAGGCTTCACAGAGGGGAAGGAACATTAAAGTGATAAAAGTCGAGATGGGGAACAGAAGGGTGTTTCAAAGGCGAAGGTAGAAAAAGTAGAAAAAAGGTGAGGTGAGTACTGTGAAAGTGGTTGAATATGACATAAAGTGGGGTGATGATAGTCTGAAGTCAGAAGTCAACTGCCGATTTATAGACTTTTTTGCCGTATGAGTATATGTTGCCCAGGGTGCACCACGTGGAGGTAAGTCCATCGCACACCCCAGGTTGATATATTAATATGTTGTTTAAAGAAGACAGAGTGTATACGTACTGAAGATTAGATATAAAATTGATTTTTCAGCAGTGCATAGTTATCATAGGTAGAGCAACTGAATCAATGAATAAGTGACAAGCAATCGTGGCACTTAGCACCACCCACGAAAAAGTGAGGAGTCCGTAACAAGCTATTGAAAGTGGGAAATGGGATAGCAATGGAGCTGAAGAAATATAAAGTTCCACATATCGATCCAGTAAGGCAATGATGAGAGCAAACTTAGTCACTAAAATACAAATAAGAATGTTGAAACTACAATATCCCACCAAGCAGTGAGGATAAGGACTACCACAGAACAGAGAGGAGTCTGTGTCTTCTTCGCTTTCATAAAATAGAATCAAGTCACAGTATTCTCTTATCACGTCAAATAAGATTGATAGATTAAGAAACAGAGACACAGAGAGAAGAGTACTTGTAAAAAATTATTGTTGGTTGTTCTTATAACCTAAGATTGATTCCTACGTGTTTGATCCGAATCCTTTACACAGTAAAGATAAAACTCATCAATAGCGTGTTTGTCATACCAAACTTGTGCTAATTGTTGGGGACTCAATTAGGGCTTTTTGTCTTATTAAAAAAGTATTAAAGATATAAGTTCTCTGAACAACCAGCTCCCTTTGGACCTTCATTTTTAGAATAAATGCTTTGTCGTGGAAATTATAAATCGTTTACAAAAGGCAGCCTGTCTTTTCACGAAGTATGAGAAATAGTTCATATACTTTTACAGGGCACAACATCTTTGGCGAATAAGCTCCCATTCCTACCGACAGATTACTACTCCTACCGACTAATCTATGCTCCCTGTTAAAAGTCGTAAAGCTCATTTAAATTTTATTACCCACAAAAAGCGAACTTCAAGAGCATAAGCCTGGAAGATGTTCAAAGTGAGACAGGAAATCCCGGTGCCAATTAACTATCAAGTTTTTTTCGAAATTTGGAAGGCAACCGATGATTGTTATTGCCCTGGTTGAACTTGTTGAAATATGAATTCCCTCATTCATACTCTTTGGTTCATTAGATTCAGTTGTGCTCAGTTATTTGAAAGTATCTTTACTGGTCACAGTTGCTAAACCTTTGATAAGCCCCTGTGCAGTACATGGTTCCCCTAGTGTATGATCTATTTCAGTGAGAGCCTTTGATTAACTATTAAATGAGAGTAATTTCCGTAAGCTTCTGTGACAGCTATCTTTGCCTTCACTGTGCACATTCCACCATCGAGTGTTAATAGTACTGTTCGTCCGTCGCACTACTTTTCCAATACAATTCGTATTGGTTTTACCCTGTTTAAAGCTAAGCTCATTCTTTTAAGATTACCAGACCTCAATTATGGTTGGTAGGCAGCCCTGTGCTGCCTCGGTTGAAGAAAAGAAGCCCTTGGGCGTTCGAACGTTCTGGAACATGCGGATGTGATGCTAATCACATTGGAGAGCAAATGAGGTCATAACTGCTGAGACCTCTCAGCCAACCACCAATAAATAGACCCTGCATGGTTTAACAAATCCACCATTGCATTATAATGCCTAAGCTCCGTGTCAGTGAGACGCAGCTCAAATAAAAGTGCGCTAGCTTAGCGAATCCTGGGACCCATTCTACACCTTGAGATCTCGCTATAGGGCTTATTGCACATATATCAAGGGTTATCATTGTGACAATCCGCTACAACCTCCCGCTAATGGGATAGTAATACATCTAGATCAAAAATAAGCCGTTAGTTAGTATTGATGTGGAATGGCTCTTATCAGACTTGAGTGTCAGTTTGATGGCACTAAATCCGCATACTCAGCATTTTGAAGCAATCTTTCGAGATTGGATATATTAAATGGATTGCTTGTCAAGTATATATATTGCTATTTCCAAATCTTAAAGATATAATAAATCCAGCAAGTATCGAATTATAAAATCATTGATAGAGCTATTCTCAAGACCTCATTCTCTGCAATCCTGAAACTAATCTAATAGGAAATTCGTATTATTTTATCTTTTGAATAATTGAGATACCACTATATTTATCTGTCCAATGAACACGGCGTATTTAGAGGTTGTAATTGATCTCCCGACATTGGTGAAAAAATATTTGTTGGGTTCTGCTTTAATTAACTTTTGATTTAAATGAAAGGAAACAATATATACCTAAAAAATAAATTTCTTTGGGCGTTTCAAGTGCCCCGTTGCGATAAACTGTTCACTTATTAATAGTCTCTTTGCAATCGTCAAATATCAATCTTAATTTAAAATATACAAGGATATTCAGTCACCTTACTCTACTTTTAATACATTTCATAAGCACATTATCAGCGCTGTTATTGCTTTTTCCATCATTATTTCCAATTTATCACTTTTAGCCACTCTGTCCAATGATCTGTGGGAAAGAAAATCTGGAAACAGACTCGGCAGCATAAGTGGCCAACCATGGATATATGCCGTACCAAACGACATCTTCATCTCCATACTCTTAGTCTTCGGTGTTATTGGAATAGGAAAAATTACAAATCCATCTATTGCCTCCACTCTCTCTCTCTCTCTGACCATCCGGTACCCTAACAGGAATTCATGGAACTTGTATTCCACTCTTCCCTAGTCATGGCTACTATTGAATCTACCTCTGGTTTCTTTGCTATCATCACTTTTCAGTCTCTTTATTTTTTTACTTTCACGAGGTTATTTGAACTTTTTAAGATAACTGCTGCCAATTGAATCGTATGTGCTTACTGCCAACCCCCGCCCCCAGCTTGACTGCCGACCGCCAACACTTCTGATGTTTGAAAGTGGGAAAATTCTGACATCGAAATATAATTCCCGCTCCTTTTACATTCATATTAAATCATTATTATTTTTACCCGAATGAATAGAAGTTAAAAATTACAAATATTCTAAATATCAACTAGTAATAGGATTTAAATAAGATGTTTAGTGTGTCGTATCACCACGCAAATTTTCTAAGTAGTTGTTTTTATTTTGAAAGTTATTTACGAAATTTTATGAAACAAACTAACATTAATAATTATTTATGTTCTATTCCCCTTCGTTTAATCCACTTGTGGGTTATTCCTGAAGAGATATTCAGCCTAAAATTTGAAAGAAATCAATAGTTAAAGCTCTGTTCTACTTTGTTTTAATTTAAATCTATTGAAATTGGACATAAGGGTATACTTTACCAAATAGTCTACTGGATCTTCTGGGCGTCTCCAAATGCATTCAAATATGCCCTTCGTAAGTGTTGGCAAAACAAATTTTCCCAAATACTCACGCAGTGGCTTTGAAGCTTTCTGTAGAGCCTCATCCTCTTCTGCTTGTATTGACTCCAAGAGACTGGACTTAAACAAGATTAGAAATGAATTTCATGATCGTGCAAATTTTTATTATGCAGGAGTATTCAGTTTACCATTTCATGCTTTTGTGCATCACGACGTTTTAACTCTTCAGCTGCTCTCGACTGTTCCAACTCACGTCGTTCTTCTTCCATCTTCATTTGAAGTTCCTCCCTCATTTTGGTTCTCTTGGTAATAGGTCCATAGTTTCTAGGTGGGCCTATAGCTACCTCAATCCTGCGCTCAATTTCATCAAATTCCTAAGATATCGGTCAGTTTCATCATCAGTTATCATATACGGAACATCTAGCAAGTATGCATGAATTATAACTTACTCCTGAGGTATCCATTGCAACATCAAAGTTGAATGTGCTAACTCCCTTGTCCTCAAAATAAGCAAGAAGTGTATTCGGACTAATACTTCCTGCCATTAAAGGAGCAAGTTGTTCGGAAGGATTCAAAGAACCAGCTTCTCCGTGTATAATCTTTAGTAGATTCTCGGACTCGAGTGCTTTTCTTAACTCTTCACTGGCCATTAGGGCAGCGACCTCAGATCCTGCGTGAGCGCGGCGATAGACTGCCAGACGTCGCATGAACCCCTCTTCGTCATTATGATTATGCTGAATCTCATCACAAGGCAATTGAAGAGCACGACTAAAGAGGAAGATATCTGAAGCTTGCAGAAATATTGTGCAAGATGGAAGTGCATTGGGTTTAGGAGAAAGATTAACTTTATTAAAAAGAGTCGTTTCCTCAGTCACATTTGGAATGATGTTCTCTCGAACATTATGCTCACTTTCCAACTGAGCTACCTTGGTGTTAGGATCCATTCTCTCCTCTATGTCTGATTCTTCTCCACTAAGTTCCTCTTCGTCTTCAGCTTCATCTTCACTTCCTTCTTCGTCCTCACCTCCTCCAAAAAGAATATCAGCCTGAGCTTTCGTCTTTGGAAAACCATCGAGAATATAACCTTGATTCTGGCATTCCTTTGAATTAAGGCGTCTTTTGACGAGGCTGGAATGGGAAAAATTGATTTTACAGTATGATGAGCTGATGGCTGTCCCCTCGGTAAAAGCATTTTGCTTACTCGCATAGCATGGAATTGCCTAAACGACCTTTTCCAGTAAAAAGGGCAGCTTGAATTTCCTCTAAAGCTTCAAGTGGGTCCTCGGTTTCACTCGCACTATCCGTTTCAGTCTCCCCATCTTCTTCTGCGCTATTTTTGACTTTCTCCTCCTATGATAAAATTACATTTGCGTACTTGCGTATTATTTGTATAGTAACTTTCCATTAAGCCAACCTACGAGTTCATTGATTCGGTCTTCTATCACTTTCTTAACATGAATATGAGGAACTGTGTAGTAATCACTAAGAAGCAGCGCTAGTTTTGTCTTTCCTGAGAGTGGCGGCCCCAGGACACATATTCGGATTGGCTTAAACAGAGATTATATTGTTAAGCATATATGTATATTTCGTATTCAAAACTACGTAATTTAATCATGTGACTTACTATTAAGCCCCTTGCTTGTTTAAATTCAGAAACCACTTTATTGATCGAGTTTACTAGCCCGTCTTCATTGGCCCAATCAAATGACATGTTTTCACGGGCAAACTGGGCTTCCAAACGCAGATCCAAAGTTAGGTTGTCGATTTCCTTTTGCTGTATTATAAAATTTATAAAAGCGTTTTCGGCACTGATTGGTCATATTTAGATAAGTATTTTTTATTTACCGTAAAACCACTATTTAATTTTGCCTCTTCAACTGAAATATGTTTCACTTTGCCCGTTGTTAGGTTTTTTGAAATGGCCTAAAATCCAATTTGCACAGCATAAATTTAACTTCAGCAGTTGATCATTTTAACGCCCACTATTATTCACTATTTACCTTTACAATATCCAATTGAGTATTGTTGCCACCATCCACGGCTAGAACATAATGCGTTGTCGGACACATATTAAGAGTTTCATAGATAATACTGAAAAAGAACAGTTGTAATTATTCTCTGAAATTCTGGCTTGATTTGTACTGGATAAGATCAATGAATTTCATTCAAGGAAAAATAAGTTATAAATCTGTTCTTGATTATTCATAAAAGTCGTTATTTTAGCGGGTAAACATTTTGATTAAGACTTGCAGCTAAGGCACTATCCCACGTTGCACAACATTTTCCTACTTATATCCTTGATATACGGACAGATTCGTGGCTACCCATGTCGAGAAAATCGAATTGAGCCACATCATTTACTAACTGAATTTAAGTAGTTAAACTAGGCATTCTCTTAGCCGACTGTACGTTGTCGAACATCAAGTCCGAACATCACATAGCAACTAGATAACCGCTGTTCTATCCGCTCAACATCACTGACCCTAAGTTCAACTCATAGATTTATCTGAGTTGAGGTCACGAGACCAATGCCTGAAGGTGCGCTCAAGTAATGTGAATGGCCAACAGCCCAGGTAAAATCCAACCAATAAGGCAAATGGTAGAATGTCCAATAATACTTCTTTCCGTCCAGATCAAACGCTATAAACCCCCTTGCTATTGGGAGAATGGTAATTTTTAAGACGACTTACAATTACCTTGCCAGATCGGCGATATAAATTGTTGGTATTATATTACTTCCTTCTTCGATGACCTCTAAAGTTTCACTGTTCAACCATCCTGCCTATTCTCACATAAATATTTCACTAATATTGAATTGTACCTTAAGAAAACGGTGAAATATATCATTTTCTTCGCCATATACTACACCACTGGCAATTACGTAAGTTAAGAATTTGATTTTATTCTAAAATAAAGTTTATCAGTAGCTGACATTTACTAATTCACCGAGCCTTTTAATCTCCTTCTCTGCGGCAATATGTTTATCATAATTTGGATGAGCTTTCCTCCGCCTATAATCGATATCACTGAAAGAGCTATTTTCGTCTTCCTATATCAATAATAGTTTAAGCTTTGACTAACATCAGAAAGGTATTGAGTTCTTGACCACGTTAATACAGTCGAAAGAAGAATAAATATTTTTCGTTCTTGAAAGTTGAAAGAATCGTGATAAAGTTTTTCAGCTATCCACAGAGCTTCATCAATCTGACTATCAATGTCAATTATATTGTATATAAAGTATTTGCAGCTTTTAATTTTTGAATACAATTCAGTCCACTTGTCAAACTAAATTACGAATTATAGAACCTAATAGTCCATACATCGACAACTGTTGATGGGTATTTTAAATTAGATTGCACATTCGTTAGTGTACAGAATATGTTATTTTTAAAATCGCCCAATGAGTTTTTAGCAATAAAATCATCCTCCTCCTGAAATTCAGTTTCCTCTTCAGTCTTTGCTTTCTTATTAAATACAGAGGCTAACAGTTTTTTTCCGACATTGGAAGAAATATAAGTGTCCAAGTGATTTATAAAAATGCTTTGGGGGGTCAAATTACCGACCACTTGAGTTGCCATAGTGATGCCGAGAGTAAGACAAAGTTAAATAACAAGGTTAGTAAATATGATTATTAAAAATTCTAAGTGCAAATACTCCAGGCAATAATATTTATTATAAAGGCTGATAATTATCGTAAGAGTATTGGAAGTTTCATTCCAATGTTGCAATAATTAGTTCTTTTGTATAAAAAAATCAATTGGTGATTTTAAAATACCAGGTTTAATTTAAAATATGAATAGAGTTTAACACATGTGGAAAGATTGAATTAGAGTAATGCAAAATCGTTTTTCCTGGTCAATTCGGTCAAGATGTTTTTAAGTTTTGAATAACCAGGTATACAATTGCATCATTTCATGAATACTTTACAAATAAAAGCTTAATTGCTTACATTACTAACAATTCATTTAAATTATTAGAAGTTATCACATTCACTACTTGACTTATTGTAAAATTGCATAATGTGAAGTTAGAAGTTCCATTTACCACGAAGATCTCTTTTCCCGGTGTTACTGTTTCATGGTGAATTCGAATTAGATAAATTTCTGAATGATGATCCAAGACGTCAACTCAGTTTCTACAACTGGCGTAAATATTACTAAAGTAGTCCTTAATAAACTTATCCTATCTGTATTTAATTTTTAATAAGAAAAAAATTCATGTCGACCGAATAATCTCTGTCTATGTTGTTTATGTGTATTTAATGACCACATAATAAATTAAAGTACGTTACCTAGTAAATGTATGAATGAGTACCAAATTTATTCATGGAATTCCAGAGGAAGAACATAACCAGTTTCAAGAAAGCAAGATTGTCTCGGAAACGCTCTTCACTCTCTTATTAATTATTTAGGAAAGAATTCAGGTACCATTACCATTAAATTTGAAAAATCTAAGTCAATATTATTCTACCATTCCTCCTTTTTGCACGATTAATCCATTGTTCTACTAGATGTGTTAAGATAGGCATCGATTTCTTAGCCGCTATCATGAAAAATGCTTGAAGTGACGACCATGAGATGTAACTTAATTCATAACTGCTAATATAATTCTCCTCAATTTAGCCCTTCAATATAATGAACTAAGTTGCAGCTTAGTTTAAGTAACTTAATTTAAACAAATCAATTAGTTTTCCTTTGTGTTTAGTAAAATAAAAATGAATTTTATAGGAATGGGGTTATGATTAGCTGATTAATTTGTTAATATCCTTATGAACTGAATTAAGATCATTTGCATATGATGTGTGTCAATATACTGATATTTGAACACGCTTATAAATATTGCCCGAATCCACGAATAAATAAATAAATAATTCATATAACGTAAATTAAAAATAAAAATCCGTTCATAATCCCTTAAACAGAATTCAAGTAAATTGCCAATATCAGAGTCAGAGTTCAAGAAATGTGTACTTTGTGTTTTGTGCCATATCTTGGTAATGGCTTCGAGGCGTATTGCCAGAACAGCTATTAACTGGGGTGAGCTTTATCACCAATGTCCAAAACATCAAATTGAGCAATTTCGTGATTTGAAGACTAAAACCGATGGATTGGTTTCCAGGTGGGCCATTCTGCTTTTAAATATCGTAGAATTAATTTCTGGCTGTTGGTTTAAGTCTTCGATTTTTCTTGTCTTGCAACATTTACTGTTCTTATCTTTAATTGCTCAACGGTTTATTTAAGAATATCATCACTTCCTGAAAAACTTCCTGATATCAACTGGGAGCATTATAAGAAAGTTGTTCCTGTTCCTGGTCTAGTTGACAAGTTCAAGAAGGAATACATGCAGCTCCAAGTCGCTTTTCCGAATGATACGAAGCAACTTGGAAAGGCCGTTGATGCTCAGGCTGCAAAGATGGTTTGATTATCTCTTTCTTGAGTTACATTCCCTTAGAATTCCATGATTAAGAAGCAAGTTGCTGCCTGTGAAAGCATGAAGGCGGATGCGACCAAAATGGTAAGGTTTCTTAATATTCTCATCTACGCGTTCTTTTATAGAAAGAGGCTCTTAAGAAGCTCCCGCCTTTCGATGAAATGATCCCAGAGATCATTGTCACATATTTTCCGGATACCAATATGGACCCATTCTTCACTGGCGAAGTTCCGAAAGTCGAGGCTCAGACTATGCTTCAAAACACGGCCCCTAAGACACATTGGGATTTCAGTTAGATAACCTGAATTCTGCAGTATACATAGTTACTCCACATAGAATTTAATAAATCATCCCCGAATCTCGTGTTTCTTTTTTCAACCGTGAATGTGCGGTAGATGATTTTTTTTTTTCTGCCTTATCGCTTAAGATCTTATATTTCCAATGAGTTTGGTTCTTAATGGCTCTTCCAGACTCTCCGTTGTTTGAATCATCTTGAATGGTTCCTAACCATTTGGCACGGGAGTGTCTATTACTTGATTGGCAGTAGATGGCAATTCACCATTAACTACGTTATTGCTGATCAGATAGAAACCGGATTGCTCACGATGACCCAGATATTAGCTGTTATTTAGATTAATGCATAAACACCGTCGTCCTGCTGCATAAAATGAATAGGGTTGCCCCACTTATTTCTCTAATGATTTAACTTAAAGGATATCGATATCGCTGGATCCGATATCTATTGAGGTGAGGGGAAGAAGCGAAGTGACAGTTTTAGGGGCGTATCGATTGGTTATTCGAATGACTAGTCATTAGAAAAGAACAAAGGAATGGTTAGAGCTACAAGTCAAAAAATGGCAAGCTATATTTTCGCAAATTGGGAGACGGTAGGGAATGTGGGTATGTCGTGGAATTTTTTCAAGTCGCAACCGAAAATCAGACATTGCAAGCAAACAAGGAAGGTTTTTAAGGAGCATGAAACTGGTTGTAGTTCGGTAACAGATCGTAATATTAAAAGAAATCTATTAAGGAAAAGAATATTGTATTGTTCGTCATATATACAAAAAATATTGAATATACAGAACTACGGTCTATCGGGCAGAAGGCATGATAGAATCAAGACCAGCATCTGAGGCAGGCGTGTGGGTAAGACTCTCTGAAGCGTTTTGCTGAGCACTCGCTTGCGACGATTCTGCATCGTCGCGCATCAGCCGATAGTTGGCCATTTCACAGGGGAACCTTTTGGATAATTCAGACATTAATAGGTGACGAAAACGCCGAATACTCTCGAGCTTTCCTCGGACGACTTCGTTATGTGCGAT